TCACTTGATTCTAGTTGTGTTCCTTGCTCTGTACCTTCAGCTCTGGCATGCTGCCAATGAGTTCATAGGGAAGCGTCACGTCTGGTTTATCTGTGTAGTCAAGTGGAACTAGCTGTGGGGCTAGATCTCGGTATCTGTAAAACAGTCTGAAATAGAAAGAAAGGCTTGTTTAGGGAACAAGTTTTTTAGACCACTGAGAACCATGTGTTTGCCTTTTCTGTATCATTCTTCACATTTTTCATCCTTTACCAGGTGGATGATATCAGTCACTAACATTTAATATACTCTGTAGTTGTTGGTGGAAGAGACAGTATTAAAAAGAACAACACAGTGTAACTGGTGAAGACAAAACCTTCATGCCTACAAAACAACTAGGTGAAAATGCTTACACACGTCAGGCAGCCAAACCACTACACAATATACACAGATACCGTGTATCTGAAAACTGATCTTTACAAAGTTTCAGATTTACTTCTACATTGCCAGCAATGGTGTTCAGGCATGTAGTGTAGTTATGATTTATGTGTTTATGATAACAAGGCAGAAGACCTTTAGTCCGAAGGTCCACCTAATCAGTTTCCAAACACACAAAAACTTGTGGCAAGGCAAAAGGGATCTGTTTTCCAAATCCATAATGAATGTGACAAAAAATATTGGGCTTAAACTGGAGCATGAAAGATCCAGTTTAAACGTCAAAATGAAACCCTGAATGCCTAAAGCCACGGGCAGGGAGAGAGATCTGGGACCAACTCTAGCAGCTTTTTATCCACCCCAAGTATCTTCCGTTTTTTCCACAGAACTCGGGTTCAAGAGGCAGAAAATGTGCATAATAATTTGAATGTATTTACCACTTTTTCAGCATGCTATTTGCTTCAGGTCTTGTGCTAGAGTAAGGATCCCATTTACAGCTGTTATCAACAAAACAATAGGACAGAATTTTAAAAGGGATCCTTATCAATAATAAATGTCTTAGTCATGACACGATTATGGTTCTGGCCTCTATTTACTATGTGGAAAGGAGACAGATTTAGATTTCAGTTATTACAGAACCATTCGTATTTTATCCTGTATAGAATTCACACACAGATATCAAGGTTCTAAAGAGGGACATGCCCTGTACAAAATTGTCACTCATACTCTGCCCTTCAGAGAAATTAGCAAATCATGTGTGATGCTATCTTGAGAGATGCAGAAACTGAACACTTCCCTTTCTGTTAGTACGCCCAATGGTCAGGAATGGCAAACGTAACTTCAATATTATGTACGTTACTATCTGGGTAAGTATTTTTAACAAGAGGAGAACAAGTTCAGGTTTTCAGTGAAGACTCTCAGTCCCACATGAACAGAATACCAAACCTGCCTCCATCAGATCCTTTGGCCAGAGACTAAATGCAGTGTTCGATGAGGCACATGAAGGCTTCGTGGAAAATGCACCTTAGAGTATTAGTATGATTATTTACAAGAAGATGTGAAGAAAATGTGAAGAAAATTGGACACAATCGTTAAGGTTTTCATAAACCAGGCAAAGTATTCCAAAGAGTATCAGTATACTTTGAAGTATCTATCTGTCACAAAACAAGGTGAGGAACATGGATGTCACTGGCAAAGTATGCACTAAAATATAACTTGTTAAATTTATTTCTGATCAATAAAGTCTGGTACCTTAATACAAAATCTAGAATTCTGGCTCAATTTAGGATAGATAACATAGGGTTTGTACCTAAAAAAAAAGCAACAAAAATGCTCAAATTGTCCAAAGGTATCACTTTAAATTTGTGTAAATCCTTTTAAAAATTATTTTTAAAATACCTCACCCTATATGTAACCTGTCTTTATAGCAGTGTCTGCCCTTTACCCACAAAATGCATATACAAGACTCACCTCAGAATTTCTTTCCTTGTAAAGAATGTGCAGTCCTATGAAAGAAGAAAAGATAGAACATGTAATGACAGTTTTCAGCATGCATTGGTACAGTGACTTGAATGAAGTCATATTGTAATATACGTGGCCAAGTGTGAAAGCTTTTTCTTTTTGGCATATAATTAGGAGTATTTTATAACCCTTCTTCTTGATGTAAGAATCAAACCATGTTACTAAAATCTTTGCTGTAATTTAGTAGTCCTACTTAATAATTTTAAAAAGAGATTGTTTTAAAAAAACCCTCACCATTATTCCATGTTCTGTCCAAACAGCCCTTTAGTTTGTTTTATACCTGATATGCATCCAGCTGCTCTGGAGTGAAAATGGTTTGTTTGTTGCCCATTTCTGGCTCTGAATGCTGATTCTTGTCCCATCATTCTTTCCTCAAAGGCACCTTTATAGGAGGTCTGGATATTCAGTTATTAAAAGCTGCAACAATGAGGTTCAGGTATAGCAGAGGATCAAGTAACCAGCTTCCCTGTTGCACAGGCTGTAAAGTATCATAATAGAAGCATTTCATCAAATCTTCAGTCTGGCTACTTAAGGCTCTTACCCACCTGTCTCCTGTGTGCACAACAAAGACTCCTGTTACAGTATTTAGCCAAACAACTAATAGCTTCTTGTTTGTGTCTTTGAAGCAGCAGGTGGACTTAATGGATCATACTTTTTCATTCCTTCAAACATGGTAAATTAACTGAAAAGTCTTAGCAATGTCTGTCTTCTTTAAGAATTAACACCAAATGCTAGAAATCAGTAACACTGGTAGTAACCCCTTGTCCTTCCCTTCTCACTAATGCTAATGGTAGTTTGTACTGGAGGTAGTCGCTATAAAGTCCACTTGCTCCCTTTATTCTGCATTATCTGTTAATACACATTCCCACTAGTTAACAATTATTTGTGTGCCATGATACATATATGTTGATACCTGTATGGCCGTTACACTTAAAATACCTGCGAGTATATAGTTTATACACACAAACAGAAATGTGATGTTACTGGCTGTATGAAATATGAAAAACAAGGCTAGAAGGAGGAACTGACAGCACAACTACAACATGTGGCAGGCTGCCTCATTTATTGATCACGGGCAGGTTGTAAAACCTTCATTTCTTGGTCATTCCTACCGTCCAGCTGGGTGGGCCCCTCTCTCCTGCGGAAAATGTATTCCCCTCAGCGAAGGAACGCCAGGCTCACCCACCCGGCGCGCCTTCAAATAACCAAAAATTATTCAGAATTGTTCCGTTCGGCGTGGAACAAGGTGTGCGGGGAGGGCTGGGACCGGTGTTTTGGGGTTTGGTTGTTTTGGGGTTTTTTTGGCGCTGCCCGGATCTCTCGACTGCCCTCTCGGGGGGGGCGGCTTCGGCTCGTAACGGTTTTACCTCACGGAGGGAAGAGGACGCACCGTTGCCGCGGCAACGGCGCCGCGCGCCGCCAGGGGGCGCCGCAGTGCTGCGCGGCGGCCGCGAACGCCATGGCGGACTACGAGGCGGTGCAGCGCGGGCCGCTGCGGCTGAAGGGCAGCGGCGGGGCTCTGGGGGGCGGGCAGCGGGGGGGGGGACGGGGGACACGGAGGGACGAGGGGACAGCGGGGTGGGCAGCGGTGACCGCCCTCTGCCCGCAGGAAGAAGAAGAAGGCGAAGGACAAGGCCCAGATCCTGGAGCAGATCGTGAGTAGCAAGAAGCAGGAGGAGGAGAAGAAGCGCGGCCTGGATAAGCGGACCCCGGCGCAGGTGGCCTACGAGAAGATGCAGGAGAAGAGGGTAAGGGCCGCCCTGCCTGGGCCAGACCCTGTCTGGGGGCTCGGGAGGGGGGTTAAAACCCCCCCTGAGGGGCTACGACTGCTGGAAGTAACCGGCCTCTCTTGTGTCTTCCCCCAGCAAATGGAGAGGATCCTGAAGAAAGCGTCCAAAACCCATAAGCAGAGGGTGGAGGTAAGCTAAATCACCCTGATTTACTCAGGCCAGTCTGTGTTTATCAGCACGCAGGCTTGTTGGGCTGGGGGAACTGTTTTGCCATTGTGAAACCACAGAAGCGGGGATGTCTTGTGGCTCAACGGCAGTCACGTCGGCACCAAATGCTAAACGTTTTCTTTCTCCTCCTCTCCCCTAGGACTTCAACAGGCACTTGGATACTCTGACTGAGCATTACGACATTCCTAAAGTCAGCTGGACTAAGTGAACGGGCTGCTTTTTCAAGGCTTTGGATCAGGAGCTGCATTTTGTTTGTATGAAACAGGGTTGCTGTGTAAATCTGTGTATTCTCCATATTGAATGTTTAATATATCTTCTGAACGTTTATGACTTTGTACTGTCTTATTTCATTGTTTTGTTTTTTAAAACCAAATATTCAACAAAGTCTCTTCTTGGCTGATGAGCTCTGATTTATGTAGGTGCAGAGGGCTGGGGGTTTTTTAGTGCTTAAAGTGAGATTAAGGCCAAAATCAATTGCCGTGAGCCCGCTGGGAAACATTCCTTTATTTGTTTGATACTAATACTTCTCTGTTTTGGAGGTGAAGAGTCTGACAGTCTCACAGAGCATAAGCTTCTCTTGTAAGTTATAGGAATTGTATAATTTCTTTGTCTCTAGACTTCTTTCAGAGGTGGAGGGTCCGCTGCAGCTTGTAACGTCGATGTAACTTCTTATTAAAATGCTGCTTTCATCCTTTTTTTGGTGCTGACTTACCTATAAAAGCAAGGGCAGCGCACTGAGGGAACAGTTTGCGCCTGGAGTTTTTGAAGCGCCTTTACAATTCTTACTCCCTTTGAGACGTGGCTTGCAGGTTGATGTTTCGAATCCTAACCGGCCTCTTAAACCCCAATATTGGTCTTAAACCCCAATATTGGTCTTAAACCCGAACGTCGTCCCTCTGCTGTTGCTGGCTGGGCCCTGGGTGCTCAGGCTGCGGCCCCTCGTCCCGGCGCCGTTAGCCCTGCTCTTGGTGCTGTTTTCAGCGCTGTGGGACCGTTTCGCAGTGGGAGGGGGAAAAAAAGGGGAAAAAAGAAAAAAAAAAAAAGACCCTCGGGACTATTTAGCATTGCTGTTCCGTGCATCAAGGTGTTCTTCCGCGGCGGAGCCCTCCGCGTATCGTTCCCCGCAGCAGCCGGGTCTCGTCTCGTGTCGTCACTTCCTGCCGGAAGTGCTGTGGGAGAAGCGGAAGTCGGTGTGTCTGTGACCGGGCGACACGGCGGCCCGGGCGGGAGGCGGCGGCGGCGGCGCGATGTCGGCCAGCGCCGTCTACGTGCTGGACCTGAAGGGGAAGGTGAGGCCCAGGCGGCGGCGATCTCTGCGGGGCCGAAGCGGAGGGGCCGGGCTCGCTGAGGGGGTCGGGCCCCGGGATGGTGGGGGGGTCCCCCGGCCTCGTTGGGGTCTGCGGGAGCCGCTTTCCCCTTCCCGGCGCCTCCTTGCCGGCAGCCCCGGTTTTACACGGCGCTGTGAGAAGGGGAGTCGTGGCTTGTGTCTCCTCTTCGCAGTTACAGGTGCCGAGGGAGGTGCTAGCAGGGCCCTTGGGCATCTCACCTGGAGTAATTAATCCCTGCCGTAATTGGAGGTGGTTTGTCTCAGAGGGGTTGCATGGTTTGCTATCTTAAAAGCGTTATTAGGGCGTGGGCAGCAATAGGTGAAGAATAACGCTGGAAAGTGTTAATACGTGACTTTGCAATGAAAGATTAGGATTTGCATTCCCATCAGCAAAGTATCTTGGCCTTGTGATTTGCGTTTATAGTATGCGTAGGAGCTAGAGTGAAGCTTGGTGACTTTTAAAAAGTTACTTGAAGAGGCCATCCAAATATCTGGTGCGTTGGTCTTGCATGGTAACATCATCTCATGAAAGAGAAAAAATATAAAGATTTTGTTCCTGTCTTTATAGGTTCTTATCTGTCGGAATTACCGCGGAGATGTGGACATGTCAGAGGTGGAGCATTTTATGCCAATCCTTATGGAAAAGGAAGAAGAGGGGACGCTTTCTCCTATTCTAGCACATGGAGGAGTTCGTTTTATGTGGATTAAACATAACAACCTATATCGTATCCTTTATACTGCAAATAGCTCGCATATGCTGATACGCCAAGTGCTGCTTTATTATTTTTGGGGTTTGTGTCTAAAAGCAAAGCGAGAGAATGGGTGAAGTGACATAAGAAGGCTCTATTAGATAAAGCTGTTTTATGCTTTACGTAGTGTAATGTACACCAGCAGCACAGGGTGCAGAAAAGTGTTTAGTTTAATTTTACTCTACTAAATTATTTCGCGAATGTTTATCTTCATATCTCATTAGACCAGACGTACTGTTCATAAATTAACTCTTAGGTTTTTTGGCCAATTCTAGTTGCCTAAAGGCTTTTAAAAATGCACTTAGTAAACATGTTTTTGAATGGTGACTTTGAATGCATGTTCCTGAACATCCTTTATCAGTTGTTGCAACTTCTAAGAAAAATGCTTGTGTATCACTGGTGTTTTCATTTTTATATAAAGTAGTTCAGGTGAGTATGAAATTTCCAAAGTAACCTCCATCTTCTTCTTGGTTCAGTCTAAATCTGATCTAAATAGAAGTGCATAGAGCTTTCACGTTTTTAAGAACTCTGTGGTAATAGCATTTTTACTTTATATTTGATTATTTTGTAGAACTATCTTCCTAACCACTAATAATGGAATTGATATTTTGTAGCTGAGTAGGCAAAGGATGTGACACAATGCTGTAAGTAGTTGCACAAGACCTGAGAACACAGAGGAGAATTGTGAACTTGATGCATGAGTAGTGGCATATCACATAGATTCTATGTTTGGTTCATCTGTACCTGGCATGAAAAATATTTTCTCCAGAATAAATATTTTTCATAATAGTTAGAGTTGCTTCTAGGATTCTCTAGCTCTCTTTTAATTGAGGTGGGTTTCCTGAGGCTAATCTTCTCAACAGAATGCTGTTTGTGAATTATGGGGTTTGGTTTGGAGCTTTTTAAAAATTGCTATTTTGGATGCAAGAACACATTCTGAATGTGCTGTACTTTCTCAGTTAATGTCCTCCTTCTTCCCCTCCCTCCTGTTGCTTTGTTTCAGGTTTTTTCTGAATATTTCAAGGAGTTGGAAGAAGAGAGCATTAGGGATAATTTTGTTATTATTTATGAGTTGTTAGATGAGCTTATGGATTTTGGTTATCCACAAACCACTGATAGTAAAATTTTACAAGAGTAAGTATCATTCTGCATCACTTACAGTGACAAACTCCTTGGAAAGTTTTGAGCATTCTTCCATACACAAACAAATCTTTTGGCTTGGTCTAGTTATCAAAAAAGCTAATTTTCACTTTTTCATGCCAATTATGTGACTGTAAAGGTACATCACTCAGGAAGGTCACAAACTTGAAACTGGAGCTCCGCGTCCACCTGCCACTGTTACGAATGCTGTTTCATGGAGATCAGAAGGGATAAAATACAGGAAAAACGAAGTGTTCCTGGATGTTATAGAGTCTGTTAACCTTTTGGTGGGTACCTTTTAACTTTTAAGGAGAATTTTGATAGGAAGTGTTGAAAAGGGCTTATTGTCTGAAAACCTGCAAGGGTACAATAAAAAGTCAGACCGACTAGTGTACTGTGATGCTCAAAACAATGTCAGTCATTGAGACCGAGTACCTGTAAGGACATCCAGCAGACAAATAATGCTTTATTTGGATGTATTGCTGATTTCTGATACGTCCTTTCCTTCTCTCTCTGTGCCCGTCACCTCCCTGACCTAGTTTTACTCTACTGGATTAATCTCCCAGGAGAAAGACACCCAAGAAAACCTGGGACACGGGGATGGGGTGGGAGTGTTGTTTGATGTTGCAACATACCACATCAGAGCCATCTTACCTTTCTTTTTGTTTTTGTTCAGGTCAGTGCCAACGGAAATGTATTACGGAGTGAGATAGTTGGATCCATTAAAATGCGAGTCTTTCTCTCGGGAATGCCAGAGCTGCGCCTTGGTTTAAATGACAAAGTTCTCTTTGATAATACAGGCCGTGAGTATTTTGGTGATATCTCAATAATCATGAAAGATGTTATCTGAAGTCTTAAGTTTTGAGATGCTTGAGGTTCAGCTGAAAGGATTTCTTCTAAGATGATAGAAATACTCCCTTTATCAATGTAGAAAACCACATTAGGTCTTGTGTGACAGTACCAAGCAAAGATGGAACGCCATGGTAATATGTGGTAACCATCTAGGCTTCCTCATCTCTTTTTCCTTGGGACTTCTGCAGTCCTAAAAACCTATAGCAAGCTAAAGAAAGTGTTGGCTAAAAGGGAGGAATGTCAGCAGACAACTGCTTAGCTGTGTAACTGGCTGCGATGAGACTTCAGGCATACTTACTTGGTGTAGCACCTTGAAACGTGTATTTTCTGCTAGGTGGCAAAAGTAAATCAGTAGAACTGGAAGATGTGAAGTTTCACCAGTGTGTTCGTCTCTCTCGCTTTGAAAACGACAGGACAATTTCTTTCATTCCGCCTGATGGAGAGTTTGAACTCATGTCATATCGTCTTAATACCCACGTAAGTCTGGATGTTTGCATTTTTTATGTGATAGTGTTTTAGATTGTAGGCAAAATTACTAACTGCTTTCCCTTTTTTTTTTTTTTCTTATAGTATGGGTAGCATAGTAGTTTTCAAGTTAACCGTTAATAGCAAAGCTTTGTGCTTGCTCATTTTGGAGGAAGTAAGAATGAGTTTAGAAATAACTTGGTAATAAGTCTCTCTTTTTTTTTTTTTTTTCAACTACTATTGAAACTGGTTCTGAAATAATTGTTCCTGTGATTTTTATTTTTTTTTAAGCTAACTACATGATGAAATGTCAGTGTAGCAATTCATTGTGCTTGACAACAGCAGTATTTATGTCATTGAATTTTATTAGAATTTGCTGGCCACAGTGATAAGGATCACTTTCCTTTCGGAAAAGGAAAAATTCAGTATAGAGAAGGTCTATAATATGCAACTATGACAGGAGACGACAAATGAAAAGTTTAGTATTAATTTTTTTAAGGGCAGTAGTTTGAATTAGAGTTATTTTTAGGGCTTGTCATAGTTCAGTCCCTAGTGTGTTAAATTATCAAATACTTTGGACTGCAAGTGTTTGTTATTAGGGATTGATCTGAGACATACCTTTTTAAGCCTATGATTCTTGTAACACTTGATTGTTGGTATATCAATGCTTGCTCATTTGTGTAATAATTTTTTTTTTTTTTAAATAAAAACACAACTTGTTTGTCATTTTGAACACCACAGACTTTCTGTTTTCTGTGGGGTTCATGTGTTAAGTGTAGCTTTATGGGAAGCAACATTTTAATGACTGTGTCAAAGTAAAACCTACAGCTGTTAAGTGTTTTTCCCTCATAGGTAAAACCACTGATCTGGATTGAGTCTGTGATTGAAAAACACTCGCACAGCCGCATCGAGTACATGATCAAGGTCAGAAGTTCTAAAATAATTACGGCAAATTTTGGTCTTCTCTTCCCTTTGTTTTCAAAGCTTGACTAGCAGCATGTGCATTTTTGTACAAGTATTTAGTATTTCTATGGGACTTGCATCTTTTTGAAAACTTCATTTGTAAGTTACGACCTCTGTATTACAGTCCTGTTTCTCAGGATGTAGTTTGGGGTGGAGGGGAATTGTCTCGCAGCTCTCTGAACTCACTAGCATAATGGAAATACTTAGAGGCCTGCTTTTCTGATTTTTTTTTTTTCTTCTTCAGGCAAAAAGTCAATTTAAGCGTAGATCAACTGCCAACAATGTGGAGATTCACATTCCAGTTCCAAACGACGCAGACTCGCCAAAGTTTAAAACCACTGTTGGAAGTGTCAAATGGGTTCCAGAGAACAGTGAAATTGTCTGGTCCATTAAATCTTTTCCAGTAAGTGTTATTTTTAGTCTTATCGCCTAATAATGTAATAATTACTTAACATTAATATTTTATGAATGTTCAGGCTCTGCCTAAAGCAAATTCTAATAGTATCAGACAAGTAGTACCGGCCTCTTCCTCTTTTCCCTTGGAGGAAGGATTGGAACTTGCTGATAAATGTTTAAGATACTGTTATTTATATTTGTTTAACTGGGATAATTCTTCAGAACTAGGTGAGAGAGCAGATTTTTGAGCGATGTCTGTGGATGGTGTAATCCCTTGGCCTAGATTTAGCAGCAGCTGTTTTAGTTTGTCAGACTCCTTCTTGGGTGGTTCCATGAGCATGAGCTCTTTCAGATGCTAATCGTGTGGTAGTAGAGCTGTCTGTCACCGTTTAATCAGAATGGTCAGTGGCACCCTTGTCTTTTGACTATGAGGCTGGAAGAAAATGAATTATGCCTCAGGCTGGTCCTAATTCGATCTGCATCTTTAAAATAAAAACAAGTACTTTTAAGCCCTGTAGAAGAGCTGAAATGAATAGTGGAGTTCAGCCATTTGACATTAAGAAAACCACTTGTATTGTTGCAAGTTTTCTTTTATTTTTTAAGAAAAAAAAAAATCTGTCCCCTTTTGGGTAGGGTGGAAAAGAATACCTGATGAGAGCTCACTTTGGACTTCCAAGCGTTGAAGCTGAAGATAAGGAAGGAAAACCTCCCATTAGTGTAAAGTTCGAGATTCCATATTTCACCACTTCAGGAATCCAGGTCAGTAGTTGAAAACAGAAATACTGGCAAGTTAGCATGCTAGGCTCTTAACGCACAAGTTTTTCTCTCATCTTCTTGATGATTCCTGTTCAATGTTATCCATAAAACATATTTTAGACCAAAAAAATATTTTTTTCTGTTTTGCTAAACACTGCTTGGCTGACATGGGAGACTTTATTTCTAACATATCTTTCTTTCCAGGTTCGCTACTTAAAGATAATTGAGAAGAGTGGCTATCAGGCTCTCCCGTGGGTTCGTTATATTACCCAGAATGGAGGTAAATGGAAGGCAATAGACTGTAGACATCTCCAACTTGCTTATTTTGTTTCTCCAGCATACACCTACAAATTGAAACACACAAAACTAGTTTGCTCACGTCCTTGGGTATTAAACTGTACAGTTTAGATACATGTTAGATTAAGGTATGCTGCTTGTTCCAGTCACCTTTTTTGGTGTCTTAATGAAAGACCCAATGGGATAGTTGAGTAATGCTGTTCAAATATTTTGTAATTAAGCTGGGATTTTTGGAACGTAAATTTAAAAAGAAATTGCTCACACATAACACTCTGCCAGCTTTCAAATGTGTAAGACACTGTCTACTAAAAGATACTAGATTGTTAGCAAGGAAAAGTGGTGGGGGTGTTTTTGGTTTTTGTTGTTTTTCTAATTAACTTTTTTCTGGCATGGAAGCATGACTGCCTGTAATTACCTTAATTGCTTTAGAGCTCGTTATCATGGCCATTCTAAGCAAAGATCTGGTTTTATTTTAATCGCTTCATCTCAATTTGCTACTCTTAGTGAGACAATTTACTAAAACTGTGGTTTTGGGTTTTTTCCCCTTTACAGACTACCAGCTTCGAACACAGTAAAACACCTCGCAAGCACCACAGATGACAAAACTTCAGGCCTAGAATTTGTTTGCAGAAGCTTCTGTGGTACTGAGAGCTGTGAACGTTGTTGCCAAGGGTCTTGTTTCTGCAATCTTGGATTGGCAGGAGAAAGATTGGAAAATTAGTGTTTTCAATAATGTGTTTGAGCATTTGAACCATTAGTATTGATTGTGTGAATATTTATTTCATTCTTAGAACATGCTGATCTTGCTGCTAAATGCTAATTACATTAGGAGTAGCAGTTACCTTGAGGAGCCAGGAATATAGAATGAACCATGAGAATCTCTTGTCAATGCCTTGTCTGTTACATTCGCAAAGTTTCTAGTATTTGTATTTTAGGATCTCTAAAGACATTGGCAGCATTATGCTACAAATTAGGGAGACAATTGTGCAATTAAATGACTGCTGAACACTTAGTTGTATTTAGCCCAAGGTATTTATTTTTTTCTGGGCATTTGGGTGCCTTAACTCCTTCAAAGCTCTGTTAACTTATAAAAATTTTTGGCATATGAGTTAAAACTATCTGAAGTCCAAAAATACTATTTGCTCTTTTTGCATGGCTTCAAACCAATTAATCTGACAGAACAACTTCAACTCAAGGGTTTGGAAACAAAAACAGGGGTTCATTAAAGACTAAGTTAACTGAGAACAAGAGATCACGGAAGTAAATGTCTATGGGAACATCTCTGTGGAAGCATGATGGTTGCTAGTTCAAGTTAGTCGAAATACAAACTGAAGAGTTTCAACCCTGTAATACCCCTAGGGCATGGACACCCTATGCCAATTGACTACTATTTGCCTTTTTAAAATTTCTATTCATAAAAAGTTCAAAACTGTAATATGTAGACGTAAGACCTTAGATTAAGTATTCAAAAACAATTTTGGAGGTGATGAAATTTGGTAGGAAGATTGGTTTTATTATTATTTTTCCAGATAATAGTAATATACTCCAACCTCTTCCTGAAAATTGATTGTTGTTTATGAAGAGGCCAATAAAAATACAGTTGCCATCTTTCTTCCAGACTGCCTTTGTGTTAATTTAGGGCAAATATTTCCCTTTTTTGCTAGAGTTTGCTAGAATTGTTTATCCTTTTTTGCCCTAAAGGGGGGTGCTTTCTTTCTCAGTCTTTTCCATTTGTAAACAACTATTATTATAACTTCCTGGCAGAATGGATAACAGTTCAGAACATTATACTTAAAGGTATTATTTTTTTTTTTTACATGCCATTTCATTTTTTTCTGAAAAAGCTAAGATTGGCATGGGTGTACATAGTTATTTTGATTTTTTCAGAAAAATTTTGATGGTTATCAGTATTTTCTTTAAACAGTTTTTAGAATGTTTTGGTTTGAATTTAGTACTCCTGACAGGTGCTAAACTTAAACCATCAAAATCTAAATATATATATGTCTGCAAAGGCGATGTAATACACTGTGTGCAAGGTTCTCTGCCCCACTCCGTTGACAGTCCCTGACTCTGCCACAAGATTGAGAAGATACTTCAGTCACTGTCCCCACTAAATCCTTGTAGACTATATATAGAGATATACCTGTGTATGCAGTATATACTATTAGCAAAAAATCAACTCGGTTCCCCTGAGATGCGGCTGCTGTAGTGTTGCAGGAAGATCGGCCCCAGAAAGGACCGATACCTGAAGGTGTACCCAGGTGATAACCAGGCAGCTGGTTAGGCAACGATAAGTGTGGACCTGTATATTCCGGAGTAATGTTACTGTATTTGTCACCCAACAAGCTTGATGTTGAAACAAATCATCTGTTCAAGATTTTGGTTCCACTACTCATTTTCATTTGAACAATTAAGCTTATGACTGGACTAAACATTTTTGTATTAAAACTGTAATTGGTTGACAAATCACTTTCTGATGACTCTGTTCTTCAAAGTGTTCGCTTATAATTATTTGCCTGTAAAATGGGATTCTTAATAACTTCATTTGTGTTCCTGTTGAAGGTTGTATCTTGCAGACCAGAACAGTATTTTCCCATATTTTGTCACAATTTGACTCTCTTTTGACAATGGGGCATCAGCCGTGCTTGTCCAGGAAGTAATAAAAGGGCAAAAAGTCATCTTTGAATCAGTTGCACTTCACCTGTTCTTTTTTCAGTTTGATCTACAGCAAGTTCTAGCCCTTAATATTAGAGTACCCTCAGTTGTTCTGGTATGAGGCCTGGATAAGTGGAACTGAACTTCATAAAAGCTGAAAGTATTCATATACCTGATTCATTTACCAAATACTGACAAAATCTTTGGTTTTCTGTTGTTCTCTGCAAAATTCATCTATGCACCATAAAATTAGTGCTCATTAGCACCCTCTTATTTCAGAAAGAAAAAAAAAAAACCACCTCTTTATCCATTCATTGTCGAAATGTAGGGTCTGTGTGTACTTACACAGGCATAAAGGCAGAAATGAAGAGATGTGGTATTAGTCTAGCACTAGCGCTTGTTCAAGGAGTAATTTTTTTTTTTTGATAAATTTAAATCTTTCTTATCTTGGTGGCTTCTGTTCTCTGCCTAATTTGGAAAAATGTAAATTTGATGGTCTGCCGCTATGTTACAGGTAAGTGCCGAATATAAAATACTTTAAAAAGACAATTTGCATAATTCAAATAAGCAGTAAAGTGTCTTATCTGCGTTTTCAGCTCGATGTGGTTTCATAGGTGTGTTATGTGGAATTTAGAACATTAAAAGACTAAACTTCAGTGGCTCTGAAAACACACCTCTGTTCCTAATGCTAAGCCAGCAATGTTTAAATGTTCTCCGCAGTCTTTTTTATAATAACCTGGGAAGCACGCTATTTTTTTCTCAGCAAGCTGAAGTGTGTTTCCTCCGTTCTATCCTTAACACAGACTGCTGGCTCAGCATATTTCAACAGCAGGAAGCGTTCCCCCTCTGCCTCCCCAGGCATGCAAAACCAACCTCATCTACACGTTATTTAATTGCTAACTGATTAGATAGCTGTTCCTCATGGTGCGTCAGCGGCACTCCCCCGTTGGAGTAAATTGGTAGTTTTACTTCCCGTAGTGGGGCGTACGTGTGTCTGATACCTTGGCTTTATTAGAATGACAGATTACAACACACTACTAGGTCTTTGGAGCTTACCCTCCCCCCCCCCC